TTACTAAAACAACATTGGCAAGCCAGTCGGGATATTGAACCTCCCGAATAAACCGAGCACTGACAAGTTTGTTAATTTCTTCGCGAATGACCTCCCGTCGTTCTGGGGCAAACTGCCTTTTCCTCTGCTTTACTGGTCTGGCTCCTGGGCTAATGTTAAGCCTATGGACTGCAATTTTAGGGTCTATCCCTGACATATCCTCAACCTTCCAGGCAAAAACGTCAATGTTGCGAGATAAGCAACTAACAAGTTCTGTCTTCAGGGTGACGTCAAGATCCCGACCAATCGTCACCTTCTTATCATGCTCGAGCTCAATTTCCATCAATTCTTCGACAGGAGCAAGTCTGACTTGTTGCCCATCCTCGGGATCCATCCTCGAGATTTGCATGACATCGTTATTTATTTCCCGAACACTGGCAACATAGCATTGTCTGGCAGCTGTCTGGTCTCCGCGGACAACCCCAACGCCATTACTTGTTGGAAACTTCATGGCTAGGTGGAAGGTGGACACAATGGCTTTAATCTTGTTCAGGATGTCTGGTCTCCACGGACGACCCCAACGCCATTACTTGTTGGAAATTTCATGGCTAGGTGGAAGGTGGACACAATGGCTTTAATCTTGTTCAGGAGTGGTCTTCCCAGAATTGCGTTATAGGCCATTGAGACACGTACCACTTGAAAAGATGTCAGCTCCGTAACCTGTTTCTGGCCAGAACCCAAAGTTAGTGGAAGCTCAACTACACCCTCTGGAGTGATGACTCCTCCACCGAACCCCTGGAGAGGAGTTTTAACCGCTTTGAGCTGGTGAGATGAGATTCCCATTTTGGCAAAAGCTTCTTGTGAAAGTATATTGGCCGCACTCCCGTTGTCAACCAAGATCCTCTTTACTTCAAAATTGGCCACAATCGCTGAGATTACCAAGGCGTCATCATGTGGAAGTGATACGCCTTCTAAGTCTCCGGTCCCAAAACTAATATCCTCCAACTTTTCCTGAGGCATCCCAGAGGCCAAGGCATATCGTCGGGCATATTGTTTTCTCCCACTGTTGGAGTCTCCTTCCGAGGCAATACCTCCAATGATGATATTGATGGTTCCAGCAGTAGGTTGACCACCCTTTTTTGCCTCAGGGTCTTTTTCCCTGTCACGACCATTCCTCGGACGTTTGTCGTTACCGACGTAGGAGCTCAGGAGTCCTCTTTTAATAAGGGCTTCAATCTCCCGTTGCAGGGCCTTACAGCTCTCCATGGTATGCCCATGATCCCGATGGAACTCACAGTACTTGTTCATGTCCCTGGATTCGGGTGGTGACCTCATTCTGACAGGCCATTTTAGTTCCTTCATATCCTTGATCTCCATCAATATGTTGGTTTTTGACGTGTTTAGACGTGTAAACGGCGTCGGGGGAACCTCCTGTCTCTGTTTTTTCCGATGCTGTTCTTCACGAGGGTTCGGGTCATGCTGTCTTTTATGCTCGACCCTGTTATGAGATGGTCCAACCATTCTCGGGTTCAGTGTTTCCTCCATATTTATGTACTTCTCGGCTCGATTAAGAAGCTCGGTGACTGTCTTTGGTGGAGTTTTAGATAAAGACATCTTGAAAGCCTCACACTTTATGGCATATGTGAGGGCAGAAACTGCTGCAGTTATGTGTAGGTCGGGAATCTGAAGTCTTTCCTTATTGAACCTGGTCATGAAGTCACGTAGGGTCTCATTTTGCCCTTGTCTAAGTTGCATGAGGGAAGCCGCTGTCTTCCTGATGCGTTTACTACTTGCGAAGAAAGCGGAAAACTTATCCGCCAAATCCGAGAATGAGGATATGGAGTTGGGCTCTAAGGTTGAGAACCAATCCCTAGCAGCATTCGTCAAAGTTTGCGGGAAGGCCTTGCACATCACCTGATCCGGTGCGACCTGTAGATTCATGACGTCCGTGTATACGTTCAGATGATTGATTGGATCAGTGGTCCCATCATATTCTTTGATCCTAGGATACTTAAATCTGTCTGGCAAGGGGAATGTTAATATTTCGGGAGTAAAGGGAGTGTTGGGACTGAATCTTGT